ACTTTGAAAGATTCACCGGGTCATTCAGCTAAACAAACTTGGTAGACCTTCATCTGAGTAAGTAACCGGCCAAACATCATCACCTTGTAACTTTTAGTTAATGATAATGAGTTGTTTAAGTATATTAACACATTTGACCAATGTGACCTTGAAAGTGGGTCAAAGTCCTTGATAATAATTTCAACAAACTTCATAGCCCTTCCACTCTGTAGTGCCTACCAGCCCAAATGTCATCTAGGCTTTTCGACTATTCACAAGACGCCATTTGAAATTTTTGACATATCTGACATCAGTGACCTTAAATATGTCATAATCATCTTTATTCACAAACTTATTTAGGCTCCATCCAAAGAAGATACGGTACCTGCCAAATATCATGACTGTAAGCCATTCAATTCTTCAGAAGTTTTTGACATATTTGACTCCTGTGACCTTGAATGTTTTAATATAGGTCAAGGTCATTTTCATTTGCACACATTGTTGGGCCCTATCTCAGAAAGCTTCCTGACAAAAATTATGACTCTAGGCTTTCCTGTTCTTAAGAAGAAGATGTTTAAGGGAAAAGTGAACAGATAACGACACCTTCAGGCAGGTGTGCTAAGAACCAATTACAGTGCAATGGGACAGGGATCTTTAACTCATTCACCCCTAAAATTTCATAATGGACTATTCCAACCTTTGAATTGGAAGAGTTCAAATGTGTCTTCAGGGATGAATAAGTTAACAGTGTAATAATGATCATGAGCTGGGTCCCTTTATGGTGACAGGATCAATCTGGTGACAATATATATTGATAAGATAGTTGTAGAATTCTTTCATGCAATCAAATGAAATAAGACCAGCATACACATTTTATCCCTATTCCAAAAGGGACCGTAGACACACTTTATCACTTCATGAGCCTTTATTAATTTTTATTCATGATTACAAAAAATTTCGAACCATTCATGGCCTCATAATTACAATATCCTGCTGTGGCTTGATAAACTGATCATTAAGGTCTATTACCTGTTAAGGTGATTGCATATTCCAGTAATGCATTTAAAAAGTAAATATTTACAATTATAAATCCAATATGCACAGGGGCGTGACACGGATCCCGACCCACAGTCCGTGTTTAGATTATAATGTAATATATGGTCTGTGCCACACCCCTTTGATCATTTCCAGGTGATATTTACCCGTCACATCCTTTGAAATATACCTCACTGAGGTTTTCTGTATGATTTACTGAGAGATGAATGTCAAATTCTGTTATCACTTTTTTTTTAATCCATGGTTTGAGTACCACATTTTGTAATGTACAAAGATTTTGTAAACATTGAAAAAGCTTTACCTACTGGTCGGTATTGTACTATTTTATTGAAAATTTTAAATAAATTATTAGTTTCATTGAAAATCTCTAACCATGCAAGTTACCAGGTATATGGTCTACACTGAGAGAAAATCAATTTTTTACATATCATGTTTTAATTACTGCTTGTTGCTCTTTAAATATTGAAACAAGGACAATTTCAATGGACAGTTTGAATACATAGCACAATACATTTACCTTTATTATCTCCAAAAATTGAATCTTTATGAATTTGATCAATGATGTATTTCAAAATATTGCGTGGGTTAAAACCTTTTAAAGATGGATTGTGGACAGCTTCATACATTTACTGTCATTGTAAATATATTTTTTATTGTTAGCAGAACTTTGAACCTTTAAAATGTCAGTGTGTTGTGCCAAACTTGGGAATACTTTGGTCCCAGGATATTATCATTTGTTGAGTGTGGATGCAAGCCTATCGATGGATCTTCCAGAATTTATTATCTTATCACAGAAGAGGTCTAGCTAGCTTCAGTACATCTCCAAAGCTCTCTACTAAAACACTATATACACAGCCAAAAAGTCCAGATAAACAAAAGATTTAACAAATGTATGTGAAAAGCCAGATCAGACACAAAAATATTACTATATGTATATGTTGTTTAGATATATACAACTTTTAAGGTTAAAGTCAAACCTGTTCATGCAACCACCTCTATTAAGAGACCACCTGTGTTAAGAGACCACCATATTGTCCCCATTACAGTGATTTTTTTCTATTTACATTTGCTCTGCATCTGTCATCAATCTCTATTATGACGTCATCAATTTCACAGACTTAATTTGCTGTTAAAAGAACTGTTTGAAATAACTAAATACAGCATAACTACTCCATCAAAATGTAAATATAAATAATGGATTGTTTAGCAAATATTGTTATGGTCCTATAACACACATTGCTATTGCTGAAAAATTTACATAAAGCCTTGGGCTTTATTAAGTTTGTCATCAATAGCAATGTGTGTTATATGACCATAACAACATTTGCTAAAACATTCATTGCTTAAGTGAACTGAACCTCCAATTAAGAGATCATTTCCATTAAGAGACCACCTGTGTTAAGAGACCACCATAATGTCCCCTTTACAGTGATTTCTTTGTGAACAGAACCTCTATTAAGAGACCATCTGTGTTAAGAGACCACTTTTTATGTTCCCAGTATAGTAGTTTCGTTGAGTAATAAACCTGTATTAAGAGACCACCTACCCATCTCAGCTGTGATTTGAGTCAATTGAATTATTCAGAACACCAATTAAAAGATTAAGAACCAATTAAAACATTATCATCAGCAAAAGTTGTTATTCATAATTGATTCTACAGGTTTAATTATGTAGAACTCAAAAAATTGATTCAAACAAACCGATTATTATTATTGTTAATATCACTCCAACATCTCTCCATAACTAATGCAATTCTAACATGAAATATTTGATTCAAACTGTGTATCTACATGTATTTAGAGTAAGTAACTGTTGGTGATGATCATTTATAACCTCCTTGCCTACCTGTACAATTTAAACATAATCAAAAATCATTTTAAAAACTAGATTAAAAGACTTTCACCTGAAATTATTGATATTTTACAGGGGTTTTCCCTATTGAAACAATTAAAATCTAAAAGTTATCTGTACAAAGTGCTTCATCTTATGTTATTGATCATTTATTGTTTCTCCCCAGCCAATACAATTAATCACGAAAAAACATTTTTAGTCTTTTATTTACTTAACCCTTTCACCACCGTACGCCATAATGGATTCATACAGATCAATGCACGGTAGAGTCAACTAACTTACATAGGGGTTAAAGTACCTTCATCTACTCTCACAGATATTTTACAGTGTCCTTCCCCTACTGAAACAATTAAAACACGAACACTGTTTATATAAATTGATATCTATTTATACACAATGTAGTTACTTGTTACGTTAATTGATATTTCACAGAGTCTATCCCAAACCCAAACTCAAACTGATATCCATTTATAAGTATTTTTACCCGTTACTATTGATATTTCACAGTGTCCACTCCAAGCCCAAACAATTGAAACATGAACGATAACGATTCAAAATGATATCCATATAATAATTTACCTGGTTTTGACAATACAATGTAGTCCAGGTTGGTACAATAATCAAGAAGTATCATAAAAGATTTGTCAACTTGAAGTCTACTATAAGCAATACAAAAAAAAAATGAACTGAAAAATATAAATTATTATAGATTGAAATTTAAATCTTACAATATTTATTATTTATTCAAATATTGACATTTGATAGTGAAGAACAGAACAATTTAGTTATTCAGATATGATATGATACAGAATTATACAATTAACACCTCATTTTATAATACATATCCAGTTGATATGAGGAAAACTGTAGACAATCTCATTTTGATTGAATTTGATTTTTTTCCCAATTTTTTCAGCTACAGTTGAAAATTTGTACTAACTTGAGATTTTTTCTTACATTATCACTGTAAACACTACATGTGTAAAATTTTACTAGTAGCTGATGCAGAAATTTTTCAAATACAATTCTTATTTTATTTGTTGGTGTTTTCCTTGGACGATTGTGTGAACAAAGTAAATGAGAACAGGTCTAGTTTGTGAACTTTTGTTACATATTGAGTTCTGACCTGTGAACTTATGTTACATATTGAGTTCTGACCTGTGAACTTATGTTACATATTCAGTTCTGACCTGTGAACTTATGTTACATATTGAGTTCTGACCTGTAAACCTATGTTACATATTGAGTTCTGACCTGTGAACCTATGTTACATATTGAGTTCAGACCTGTGAACCTATGTTACATATTGAGTTCTGACCTGTGAACTTATGTTACATATTGAGTTCTGACTTGTGAACTTATGTTACATATTGAGTAAGCACAAAAAAGGCTGTTCAACATGATAAGTGAACTTGACACTCTTTAGAATTCATATTTTTCAAGATAGGGTCTTTAGATATAAAAACAATTTTGAAAAAGGTTGGTTAAATGTATGCATGGACTTTTCAATTTTCTAGGAGCTTACAAAGTCTCACATTGGTTCCAATTTTCAACCCTTACACACACATGCAGTAAGTAACAAGGTTTCTTCCAACGATAATGGAAAACCTGTTGTTCAGGTAACTTAATTGGCGGCACCATCATGGCCAAGGCTTCAACAGAAGCTTTCAATCATTTTTTGTTGATTTAAATATTGTTTTGTGTACCTTACTTTAAATGATCATTACATTAAAACCATACATGCAAAGTAAAATAAGTTTCATTTTTTTTAATGGAAATAACCTTTCACAGATATATTTTATTTACATTTCATTAAGCTAACCATACATATAAAAGCTGTTTTCTTTACATGTATACAAATTTAAGTAAAACATAATTACACATCAACGATTTTGACAAGTACAGAACTGGAGAACATCCTGGTTCCTTGACAAGTAATTTTGAATTATTTTGATCTTAAAGTTATACTATAACTACTGATATTCAGACCAAATGAAACAGTTAATTTTCCAGGTATATCAAAATTTGTAAATAGTTGCGATCACCAATAGTTATGTATTATAAACATGTAAACAATTCTTTTAAATGCTAGTGACAAGTAATTATAAACCTACCTTAGTCCCAGTGTGGTCCGACTGACTTGTCCTTGGAAAACTCATTGTGGATCATTTAACACTTTTTAAAATACCCACGCAGAACTCTGAAAATAGAATAGAGCTTTTAGATTTAACAACAAAGATTGTAAATACTTTTCAATTCCACGTAAGTTAGGATAACCAGTGAATATAAACTTACTCGTACAGATAAGTCCAGCTAATCACAAAAGAAAACACTTTTACGACATGGTTTGGGTTCGCTTAATATCATATCTAAACAGTTACGTTGTGTCATGTACATGTACGTACACATAGCATTATACTGCTGAACGTAACAGCTTACTGTGATTCAAGTCACACCTCCCCTAGCAGACCCGAGTCAATAAATACAATTATCTCACATAATGAACGTATTTAAACAACAAAGACACGGCCGAAAAAAATCAGATGTAAATCGTCTGTGTATCCTGCAATTTTCAACTGGTCCCGATTGATTTTTTCATTGTACCTACCTGTCGGATGATGGACCGGCATTGTTTTTGTGAAGTGTGGTAGAATCCAGCTTCTGTGTACCAGAAGTCATAGCTTTTGTCTCACCTGCGGTTGACAACATAGAAATCAACACAATACATTGGTTAAAAAAAACAATGTTGATAGGATGCCAGGTAGAGCAGGAACTGATTGTTCCACGATTTAACAACGACATGTTTACAAAATGAAAACTCCTGCGAAGAAAGATTAAATTTCTGTATATAAATGATTTAATGACACAAATAATATTTCAGTTCCACAAGTAATATCCTGGTACAGGTAGATCCTAAGAAATATATTTAATCCTTTCCTTCACGTTAAAAGCCCACAGATGCTGACACGGGGGTTGAACCCAGGTAAATGACGGTCTTGATAAATGAAGGAACGGCTTTAATCTAAACTGATCATGTAATATTGATCTGAAATCCAAATGTAACAGAACAGACTGAAATTACATCTACATTCTTTATAAAACTAATCACATTTAAATCTTTTCTTAAATGATTTAGAAATTGATCTTGTCATATCAAAACAGAAGAATTTCATACAACACCAGTTGAATAAAGGTGGGTCTTAGCTTGCTCTAATGCACACAGGTAAAATGCTTGAGACACCTTAACCAAACACTTCTCTAATCATTTTGTAGGTAGATGAGACCGTAACACAGTATATTAAGCTAAAAAAAAGTATATTAAAATAGAATTCTCACCTTTGATACCTGTAACGAGGGAAGTGACAGATAATGTGTATTGACGGGTGAGAGTCCTTGACAGCGATGCCGTGGCTGTGATCTCTAGTCACAGACCTTTGATGATTCAAGGGTTCCTTCCTTTTGATAAGTACATCTTGTGGGAATGCAGTGATGTTGATTTGATTTTAACACTTATATAATTACAGGTAACTAATATCACAACACAGGAACGTTCAGGGATCCTTACCAAGCAGCTTAACGGAAAGTTTTATCCAGATGTTTTTTCATCAATATTTTCTCATTAGTTAACACAATGTACATCAGTCTTTAATTTTAAAATATTGCACTTGGAGAGTGAAAAAAGGATACATATTTCAATATCATTACCATAAAAGCTTTTTCGTTTTATAAAATTTGGTAAATAATCATGAAAGCTAACAAGGCTGTAATCCTACGGGCATTTTCCATTAAGTAGGAAATTTGAGTACACTTTTTCAGAGCATGGTCAACTTTAAATTAATTTACAGGTAAAGACAAATTTATCATTTGGAGTATTTTCAAAAATTTGAAACAAAATATTGAAAGTTTGAAGCTCTTGAAATATATGATCCAAAGACAAGAAACAACACAACTATTGGTACATTTTAATACATTTAGATCATTTGTTTTGAAAGTTGATGTAAATGACTAAATAAGCTAACAATTATTTGACAACTTGTACAGTATACATAGACCCCCACTCCCACCCAAGTCAGATTGATCAGGTATTTACTCCCAGGCCTATCAACTTCACATACTTAAAGCGCAGTAACATAAGATGGTAGGCAGAATTTAAAGAGCCAAGGTGAAAATCAGATAATTACGTACATGCAAATGTCCCTGATGGCTATAGAGCCAGATTTGAAGTAAAGAAGTTTACAATATAATAGATGTAGTAATCTTTTTTTTAAATATAGGATAAAGCAAATCATGCTTAAAGTTTCTTTTCATCAAATTATTATAAAATGAAGTCATAACTACCAGGTGTTTTCTTAATGGCATCTTTTAAGATGCCTTCTGAATAAATTTGAAATATTCTTTAAGATAACAATATCTTCATCTGTCTCAATATAGATAGGTTAATACAATTTATTTTAGATAAATTCTTTTCCTCACTGAAAATGCATTTCTATGCAATTATATTTCCATTTCAAGTCCTTAATTAAACATAGATTTCATTTGATTAATGACCATCTAATCAAATATAGATTTCCCTCATGCCAGACCTGCAGTGTTACTGATATCTGTGATCCTGCAGAAGATCCTGTCTGTCTAGAAAATACAAATACATGTACATGTAAACAGGTTTTCAGGTTTCAAAGTCTGAATTTGCTGAAATAATAAAATCTATTTTATTGTCCTGTAATATGCTCTTCCCCACTGGTTTGTCTTAAACAGTATTTAATTAAACCTATTGCATTACAAAATACAAAACAAATTGCTAGAATTTGGTTGTCATCGCATACACATGTACGTTGAATATTGAAACGAGTAGATTTCAAGAGAGAAAAGATAGAATTTGTACATATTGTACATATTGTAACAGTGGCGATATCGAAGACGAATATCATTTTAATTTTTAATTTTAGTCTTTCAACTGATGTAAAAAACTTTTTCATTAAAAAATATTATCATAAAAACATAGTATAGCAAATTTTTCAGAATGATTACAAGAAATAATAAAGAACTGTTTAGGTTAGCAACATTTCTGAGCCAAAGTCAAAAAAGGTGATGCAATACTGTTTAAGCTGAAAGGAATCACTCTCTACACTATCGCTGTAATTTAATCATTTATGCATGGTGTTGTATTCTTTGTTTGTATATATATATGTACTGTATAATTTGCACTGCACTGATAAACCGCAAGGTTTAAGGTAATAAAGAATGAAGGAAGGAAAAGTCAGATTATGTGTTGACCCCCCTTGGCATATTGCAGAATAATCCTGGCATGTGATTTAATGAAGCTGCTATAACTTATGGTAACCTCCCTCTCCCAGCATCAAACATAATCACATTTAATATACTTTAAAATACAAGAGGCCCAACAGGCCTGAAGATGCCCACCAGATTAGATGTGAACTTTCATTTTAAACTTTGTAGCACTCCATACAAACGTAAGCCTTTTGGTTCTTTAGAGGAAGTCATTTGAGTACTATAACAAGTTTGACCCTAATGACCTTAAATAAATGTCAAGGTTATTTTTTCACAAATTTTGTAGCTCTCCATTTGACTCGAGACCTTTTTGTTATTTAGAAGAAATATCTTGAGTGTTTAAATATAAGACCTCTGTTAACTTGAACAAACGTTAATGCTATTTCTTGTCTCCATCATCATTCACTCAATGCCATATTAACTACATGTAAACCATCCTGATTCTAGAACATATGGCGCTTCAGGAGAAAGCATTTTGTGGATTAACAAATTTGACCTCAGTGACCTTGAATAAGGGTCAGCTTCATTTCCTTTTCACAACTTGACACTCATTGACAGCAAGCTTTAGGTAAATATCATTACTTAGACACTTTGGTCTTTTAGTAGAAGTCGTTTGAGTGTTTTAGCGAACTTTGACCTTGAATATAAGTCAAAGTCGTTTCTTTTGAAGAAATGTATAGCATTGCATGCAAGCAAGTTACTAGCCAAATATTATGACTCTATATACCTTTTCGTTCTTCTTTAAATGTGGTTTGAATGTTCCAATTTTGTTTACCTCTTTGACCTTGAATATGTCAAGGTCATTGTTTTTCGCTTAGTTTGTTACTGTAGCACGTGTACTCCATGGCAGTGAGTTACATGCCAGATATTATGACTACATTTTTTTCAGTTGTTTTGAGTGTTTAAATTAAAATTTGACACTTGTGACTTGAATATAGGTCAAGGTTATTTCATAATGTATCATTGTAAATTGTACATTTTTAATATAGTCAACTTAATTATTTACTTACTTTTTTAATATACATGCAAATAACTTGAAAGTAAAAAATAAATTATATATATGTATATACATGTATTGTAGGATATTTTTATATCTTTTAGATAAAATCGTTAGAAATAGCAGAAATTTTAACATTTCTTTTTTCATAAAACAAAATACACAAAAACATATCGTTGTTTGTTCATGTTTTATTTTCCAGAGTACCATCGTCTTTCATGTTCATAACAGGCCAGTTGGACTTTCTTCCCTTATAAGACAAGAGTAATTCCTGAAAGAATGCATCAGAGGTTTTCTATTTCAGAAATAACATGAGCTTTTTTAAATGCCCTTTTAGATTAATTCTTATACATTTTCCAACAGAATCACACAAAATATTTCTTTTTATTTATTGAAATAATTAAATTTACAAATATCTTATCCTTTTTGCATATGATTTCGGTGTGAAACCTTTGAATATTTTATATTTAAGATTCTGTGCTCATGCAAGGTTGCTTTTTGTCTGTATTACATTTTTTTTAATTAAAATCCGATAGGAGTGCAGTCAAATCACTTGTTCCTAGCAGGATTAGCTCACCTAATGATACCTGGACAGTGACAATGATTACACACTGTGAAATAATCCCACACTGGGAAAATCTCGCCTTCTGTTAGATGTAGTAAGGTTTACACACAGCTGTGACACCATCATGGTCAGTACTTCCTCATCACACTGTAGTACAGGTAACACACACTACTCTATCACAGTCAGCACATCCTGCCATAGAACTGAAATTATACTGCTGCAACTGTTCACGCCAGCATGAGTTCACTACGATCCTCAGGCACCAATACACCACTAGGGTAACACACTTTTATATCACAGAACGTATTGTATAATGCCTAAAGGCAGGGGTACTCTGGCTAACAGGTGTACTCTCTACAAGCACTTTTGTACCACACGATATTACTGACGAAAGCATACCAGCACACTTGTGTAGATTCATTATAGTCCTCTGTTCTTACCATTCCAGCAGTAAGTGATGACTATACTGGTACATGTACTGTAATTTCACTTCCAGTAATACACTGAACTCGCACTGAATGTATACTGTGATACAAAACAGCATCATCCTCTGACTGAATAGTTCCGTTCATCTCTTCCAGTAATACTCTGAACTAGCACTGAATGTATTCTGTGATACAAAACAGCATCATCCTATGACTGAATAGTTCCGTTCATCACTTCCAGTCATACACTGAACTAGCACTGAATGTATACTGCCATACAAAACAGCATCATCCTCTGACTGAATAGATCCATTCATCACTTCCAGTAATACACTGAACTAGCACTGAATGTATACTGCCATACAAAACAGCATCATCCTCTGACTGAATAGTTCCGTTCATCACTACCAGTCATACACTGAACTAGCACTGAATGTATACTGTTATACAAAACAGCATCATCCTCTGACTGAATAGTTCCGTTCATCACTTCCAGTAATACTCTGAACTAGCACTGAATGTATACTGTGATACTAAACAGCATCATCCTCTGACTGAATAGTTCCGTTCATCACTTCCAGTAAAATACACTGAACTAGCACTGAATGTATAATGTGATACAAAACAGCATCATCCTCTGACTGAATAGATCCGTTCATCACTTCCAGTAATACACTGAACTAGCACTGAATGTATACTGCCATACAAAAGCAAAGTATATGTTATGATGATGATCCACTAGAACAGGTACATTGCGGATGGATTTGATCCACATGTGATGTTTCCTTTTACTTGCTATGGTTTCTAACTTCCTCACTTTTTCCTGCTGTAGAAATTTAAAAAAATGGTCTTTTCATTTGTTTGTACCCCTAGATATTTTGTGAACCAAACTTTATTTCATATTTAAAAAAATCAAGGATTTATTTCTTATTGATAATCATTATGTAGAAACTTTGGCACCAATAGTTATTCACAGACGTCAAAAAAGTCACATTTTAATTTATATTCCAGTGACATATTCTGCAGTTGATCCTACTTGTGATATTCAACAAATATTTCACTAGTCATACCTTAATTTGTAAAAAAAAAGGCGAAAGTTTGAATGCTCACCTTTTCTTTGGTTTACTTGGCCGTGACGTGATGGAGGGCGGAGACATGATATCGGAGCCTGGAATGGAGGCTGGGTCAGTTATACTGTCCCCACCCTCACTCAACTGGGCGGGTGTTCGGGGCGGCTTCACACTACCAGGCTCATCAAACACGTCAAAACTGAGACGTGAGCTGGAAAATGATGAAGACATATAATTAAAGTTCAGCCATGTTCTCAAAAATGTGCATATGAACATCAAAATTTTGACAACAGCTGAAAAATAAAACTCATTTTGCTTAAATTGCCCTAGATAATGTTTGATACTTCCCATTTGGAACAGATATACCAATTTATACCATTAAAAGATTTTACCCTTTCCTGTGCTGAAAATGAACTTATTTTCATTTTTCAGAAGATAACAATTCCTCAGACAGATATAAATGCAAACTATTACCCACCTATTACCTCCTTCCGTTGATTCTGACTTCACACCCTGCCATTTGGAATCCATCTCCGTTGTTAGTCCACTTGTTGATTCATGTTCAACAGTAATCTCAAATCCACTCAAACCTTTCAAATTATGTGAAGATAAATTAAGGAAATGACACAGAATATAAGGTTACAGTCTTAGATACTTATTTCATACTGCAAAGGTAAAGAAACATGGAAGACTGTTATCTTCGCATACTTAACAACTTTTAAAAATTTCCATGGGGGAGATTACGTGTGCTCAGAATTAAATGCATAAATATAATGTTCGTGTATACACCCTAGGGAAACATAACACTTTTAAATTCGATTATTTGAGCTGTTCTTTCAGGTGAAATCATCAGATCTTAGAAAATAGAAACAGTTTAGTAAATTTGCTCATTTGCTCAATTTTAGGGTCCAAAATCTGGAGTCTCCCTCCTATATAGGGAGAGTTGGCAAGTATGACTTTGATATCTAAGGAGACTTCAGGTAGTTATTATAACCCTGAATTCCAGCCATCTACTGTAAAAGTGGACATTATTTTGGTGTGGAAATTATCACATTATTTGATTAAATTAGATAGAAAATATCCATATTGATAAACAGAATATACAGATATCAGAAAACAAAACATTCCACCTTGCAATCAGAGGAAGCCTACAGGCTAAGCCATGACTATTGCTCTAAGCCTTTAGAAGTGCCAAATGTCTAAAGTAATCACATGATATCAGATACAGCTTTCTACTTTCTAACAGATTTTCAAAAGACTGTAAATTCAACTTGTTGACTTGTTTCAGATCAAGTTTGAAAATATTTCTCTATTTAAAAATACTAAGGCACAGCTTGTAAATTTCTGCTCAATATTCATTAACAAAATGTCAAACAAGGAGTCTACCAGAGAGTGGATATAACAATAGAGTCAGCTTCAAACCTTCCAGCTGTAGTAAACACCGAGTCTACCAGAGAGTGGATATAACAATGGAGTCAGCTTCTAACCTTCCAGCTGTAGTAAACAGCGTGTCTACCAGAGAGTGGATATAACAATAGAGTCAGCTTCAAACCTTCCAGCTGTAGTAAACAGCGTGTATACCAGAGAGTGGAATAAACAATAGAGTCAGCTTCTAACCTACCAGCTGTAGTAAACAGCGAGTCTACCAGAGAGCGGATATAACAATAGAGTCAGCTTCAAACCTTCCAGCTGTAGTAAACAGCGTGTATACCAGAGAGTGGAATAAACAATAGAGTCAGCTTCTAACCTTCCAGCTGTAGTAAACAGCGAGTCTACCAGAGAGTGGATATAACAATAGAGTCAGCTTC